ATTTCATGCATTTAAGGAATTATCAGTCTTTTGCAGAGAGAGATGAAACAAACAAATATAAGTTAAAGTACTTCTCAAGCACTCTTGCAAAGCACAGAAGTATTATCAATATGAGGGGGTCTTTCAGTGAGAATGAGGGATGTCTCAAAGGTAAGTTGCTTAGATAGGCAATTGAGAATCTGGTGATGACGATGACTCACCAGCTGATGCCTATGGGGACCGTTAATGACTGAGACCTGAACACGGGCCTTCATCTAGTAACACCGAGGATGACTTAAATCCTTCTAATACCATAGAAGGGGTAAGAGGTGGAAGGAAGATCCAGAAATGCTTGAGGTTAAGTTCATACCATTTAGCTTAATGGGAGTTCAAAAGCAAAATTAAATTTCTTAAAACACGAACACACCGAAGTTATATTTCATACACATATCTCTTCAACAAAATGTTTCCTTCAGAAAGTCTGGTCTCTGTTAGCTAAAGTCCAGTGCATTGGATTCAGGGTCTACTCTATTCTATCTGCATGATCAATAGAACTGAATGTTGGGCAGTACTTATAGACTTCAAGTCCTTATCTTCAAGTTATTTGTTTATTTTTCTTTCTGACTTTGGCAAAACCTATAATGTAATTTTCTCTTCTATTAAAATGTTAGAGTTTACCTGCTCTGTTCCTCTGGAACAGTTTTGGGGGAAAAGCAATGGGGGAAGATTTATTGATAACTTGTAATTTTCTGTCAACCTTATAATCTCATTTCTCCTTTTCACAACTTAAACAAATTCTGGTAAAATGTGACAACCTTAAAGCTAATTTATAGAAGGCTGACAATAGTCTTGGACTTATAATGAGCTTTGTTTAACCTTGACATTTATTAACCAGCTCTTTATGTCTGGGCTGCTAATGAGCTAGTGTCTCTAAACCTGAGGCAGGTACTATCAGGGCCTGGCAGGTCTCCTGAGGCAGGTCTCCTTCTGCCTCCTCCATGCCCTGGCCCAATCCTATCCTGCATACTATAGGAGAGGTTACAGTGGTGTAACCTAAAATGCCAAATCTCCTTTCAGTTGTACCCAAATCATATTTGTGTCCCACATATTGTCTTATGTCAATACTCATTCTTACATTGTGGATTCAGATTGGGACCAATTTCTAGGAAAGGATATCATGTTTGGTAAAGTAGAGGGTCAGTGAAAGTGAGGGAGACCCGCAATGAGATGGATGGACACAACAGCCACATCAATGGACTCAAACATATCAACTATAATGAAGACAGCACAGGACCGGGCAACATTTTGTTCTGTGATACATAAGGTTGTTATGAGTTGGAGCCAACTCGGCAGTGACTAACAACATTGCAAGATGGAGATCCGGGCACTGTAGATTACTATATCCATAGCGAAGTATAGATTTTTATCATATACATGCTAATTCAAACAATTCCAGTAAAGTTTTTTAAAAGAAGGAAGAAATACTATTATATTTGGGTATCATACAACTCTCATTTTATAATTATTTCCATACTAATCAAAGGAATATAATCTTGGGGGTTAATAGTGTGGAGATTTGTTCATTATCAAGTAGATGGTAGATTTAACACTGAAAAGTGGCTTCATTTTGTGATAAAATATTTTTCCATAGATTGTTAAAAGGATAAAATGTAACAAGGGAAGAAAAGTATTTCTTGCCTCTAAGGTAAGGTAATGAAGTTTCTGTCTTCAAGAAGCTTCCATCTGATTTCAGCTTCTGATGCAAAATGTCATCAGCTTTCCTCTTTATTGTGCCTGCATTGTTAGAAGCAAACTGAAATTTAAGCAATACATCTGTTTTCAAACCATCATTACTTGACCTGAAAAACAAAACACCACAATAAATGAGTGAGATCGTTATTAGCCACAGTAATTATTATGTTGTAGCATATTGTTTAAATATTAGTCATATCTTGAAGAAACCATAATAAAAAATATTTCATACATTTTAGTATCATGGATTTTTTTCCCTTCATACATTAAACCAAAATTCACTGCTGTTGAGTTGATTCCAACTCATAGTGACCCTATAGGACAGAGTAGAAGTGTGCCATAGGGTTTCCAAGGCGTAATCTTTATGCAGGAAACCCTGGTGTCATAGTGGTTAAGAGCTACGGCTGCTAACAAAAAGTGGGCAGTTTGAATCCACCAGGTGCTTCTTGGAAACCCTATGGAGCAGTTCTACTCTGTCCTGTAGGGTTGCTAGGAGTCGGGATCGACTCAAGGGCAATGAGTTTGGTTTTGGTCTTTTTAAAATCTTTATGGAAGCAACTGTCACATCTTTCTCCCACAGAGCAGGCTGGTGGGTTCAAACTGCCAACCTTTTGTTCAGTGGCCAAGTGCTTAACCACTGCACTGCCAGGGCTCTTTGTCCATATTACACAGGTATTAATATCTGAATTATTCCTTGCTTGTAAAACTTGGTCATATTCAGGAAGGAGAGGATATCTGAGAGTTCTATCATATTTTTTTGTGAAAAAATAATCAAAAGCACTTGTTAAATTTACCAAATTTGTATGTGTATGTGTGTGTATGTATGAATATATATTCTATACCTTTAAAATTTTTAAAAGCTGCTTATTATAAGGAAGAAATAAGTAAAATTGAGATAAGTAGTTAATGATTGTAGGAATCTTTAACTGAAATTTGAAAGTTTTCAAAAGAACAACCAGTAGAATTTGTTTCATCTCTACCCAAGTTAAGAAACTCTCACTATAGGTACTTTGTACAGAAGTAATAGCAATTAAAACCCTTTGGTGACCCATGGACAAATGGTATCCCAACCACTTTTTATGCCTTTGGAGTTCTTTGGTAGTATACTTTTCCTACTGAAAGTATTTGTTGTCCTTTAGTGGGGACTTTTGTAATGGTGAAAGGTGAAAGAAACGTTGGTTGAAGCAAAATACCTGGAGTATGAGGCTTGCAAGGAAGATAGTGCAATCAGGAAGTGTGATTGGGTAAAATTTTGTCTCTTTTGGTTTTTGTACCCCTAGATAAGCTTTGTAAGCATATTTATGGTTCCCTGTGTGATAGCTGGAAACCCTGGTGGCGTATTGGTTAAGTGCTATGACTGCTAACCAAAAAAGGTTGGCAGTTCGAATCCACCAGCTGCTCCTTGGAAAATCTATGGGGCAGTTCTACTCTGTCCTTTAGGGTCACTATGAGTTGGAATCAACTCAACAGCAATGGGTTAGTTTCTTTTTTTCTTTGGTGTGAAAGTTAAGGAGCCCCGGGGGGCTTGGTTTTGGCTTTTTTTTGTGTCATATTTGGAAAACCAGAGGTTCCGCATATAACCTAATGGAAGGCCCACCACCATATTTTCAGTAACGAAGGTTCCTTGGGGCAGATGGTCATGCCTCAATCAGCAGGCTTGAGAATGCAAAAAGTTCAGTGGTAACCATGTAGACCCAGACAATATTTTTCAAAATCCATTATTACCAACCCAAAATTTCAACACACCTCATGACTCAGCATACTTACATTAATGAAAACACATGATATCAAAAACAAAACAAAACAAAATTCAAAGCAGGAAATAATAGGATCACCAAACAGTTAAATGTAATAATGTTAAACTACGTTTGTTCTTGGTGTATCTAAGATTTTTTTTCTTTTTGGTGGTATATTGAAATTTATTTGACTTTTTAAGCCATGTTTATTGAGATACAACCTATATATGCTAAAATTTACCCTACTGGTACTGAATTTTTTTTTTTATTGTACTTTAGATGAAGGTTTACAGAACAAATAGTTTCACATTAAACAGTCAGTACACATATTGTTTGACATAGGTTAACAACCCCACGACATGTCAGCACTCTCCCTTCTTGACAAACATGGAATGCTTCACGAATTTGTATGTCATCCTTGCACAGGGACCATGCTAATCTTCTCTGTATCGCTGCTGAAACAAGCACTGGTTTTGGTATATCTAAGATTTTTAGAAATTGCCCAAAAAGTGAATAATTGATGAATAACTAAATAATATAAAATTGTCTTTTTATCATACAAATTAATTAGTTGTGATTACCTAAAGTTGACAACATGAGATGTGATGTAGAGAGAGTTTAAACCGGATCTTTGAAATATTTTATTCATCTGAGGAAAAAAAAGAACAGAAATTTGTTAAATATGAATTCACATATTTCAATATGTCACAAAAATACTTGTATAAAAACTGCTGTGATTTGAATAGTATTTACTCTGAAGTTTGTTTACAGCTAGCCTCAGAAACCTATTTGGGCATAATCCTGTTCTCATAAAGATCATTCCTATAATAGGATGTAGATATTTAAACAACTTGTCATGTGGTTAAAAATTATTGCTATAGAGGGCAGAGCCAACAGGGTGCTATAGACAGAAGCACCATGCCAGCCCTCCACAGCAAAGACCCAAAAAAACTAAGTAAAACAGAGACTAATGTCAATCTTGGAACCCTAAGCATCAAATGAAGAGATAAAGAACTCAGCCAAGCACTGAGTAGAATAACAAACTAACAGAGAATAGAGAGTGAGGAGAGATACGTGCAGAGATCTCCTGTTAGCTAACGCAGCATGCATTCGCCATCTTGGACTCCTGTCAGAGATCGGTGAACAGAGAGTACAGGAAAGCAGCTTCATGGAGGAGCTCCCAGCACTAGATACAGCACCCAGTAGCCAGCAATGTATGCCTTCCCACCCCCCCATTCTACTCCCACCTGCTTGACCTCTGCAGTGTCAGAGCTGGCTGTGGTAGTTTGGCAGGCTGGGAAGTGCAGGGTCCCTGCCAATTGGATTCGCCCTGCCCACATCAGAGATCAATGGACAGGGAGTATGGGAAAGCAGCTTCACAGAGATCCCAGCAGGAGAC